GTGTCCACTTTAATATAAAAGAATAGAGAGCTGCTGAAGGACTACTCTAAGAAGAGTACTGAGTTATAACTGATGTTAAGTCACTATGTGTAGAAGTCAGTATGAGTTATAGACAACATAAACAATAAGCATATGTAACGTTTACTATGTGTTGGCACTATTTCATTCTTACAACAATACAATAAGGAAGCTGGTAAAGTCTCCATTTTTTTTCTAGATGAGACAAAAGAGACATGGAAAATTTAAGACGCTTGCCCAAGGTCACCAAGCTAATGAGTAGCCCAGCTAGAATTTGAACCCTGGTAGTCTAACTCTGGATGCCACACTCTTTAAAAGCTACAAAAATGGAAATGCACATTACAATGAACCAAAACTGTATGTAAACTTTAGATCTGAGCAATGAGAAGGTTTCCGAAAGCCACGCTTTTATTTTATATTGTCTTACTTATTTTTAAGATTGCTTTATTATTTTATATTGTTAAACCTTTGTGGCTAACCATATCACACATTCATTTTATGTACGCTTTGTACCCTGCAAAAACACTGTCGATACTCTGCTAGAAATCTCCTCAATGGGGCACTTGATGGCTTGTCTAGTGGCTGTTGGTCATAATGGTGCTATGTCAATACAGCAGCCACTGACAATTCCTGGAGGTGGGTTATGACCCATTCGTTAAATTCTGACCACCATCATATGGCTGCAGCAGGAGCTGAGACTGCCACCTGGTCCCTAGGGAGATGGGAGTTTTTCTTTTCAAATAACACTCAAAATTAGGTGATCCTGGATATGATAGGCAGAAGCCACTTTAGGCTTCACTTCCTTTTTTTTTTTTTTTTAAAGAGATTTTTGCTATAGGATGTGTGTGCTCACCAGAGAGACAAAAAGCAATCATCACCGAATCTGGGTTTCGAACCATGCTCAACTACGTGGGAGTCCAGCAACATAACTCTAATGCCATCTGCTAGTCCCTAGGCATTATTTCTTAAAGATATATATTGGGTTCTGTTTGGGGGTTCTGCTTTAGAGCAGAGGTTCCCAGCTCAGAGTAGTGATCTATTTTTTTTGTTTATTTTTAATTGCAAGAGGATGCTTGTGCTCACCAGAGACAGAGAAACAGGGAGGGAGAAGAATCAGCCACCAATAGGGCATGGCCACACCACAATCTTTTCTCCTCTGTATCTCTATTTCTTTGGGATTTTAAGTGTGCATGCCCACATGCCTGGTGTGTTCTTTAAGCCACTGGTTTAAACGTCAAACCACATTGGCCAGGTGGAATCCATCACCCTTCACATCTAGGCTGCAGGGCCAGCCCATGTAGTGACCTATGATCTTCACAAAAGGATATGCCAGATTCTACAGGGCAACCATGGACCCACAGAGCATCTACTAGTAGCCACAAATGACCATTAAGAGTAGGAATGGCTTCTTCGGCATAGTGGTAATGTCCTGTTGAGACGCTGGATCCCAGGTGGCAATCATGGTTCAAATCACTGGCTTGGTCAGTCTGGAACACTCCAGGCAAGTGCACAAACACCTAAGACCCAATGGACTGGAAGACTGGAAGAGGATCTGGGCCATGACCAAATTCTGTGGAGAGTGCCCAGTCCTTGTCCCTGTCACTCTCACATGTGTGTATGAATTTATAATTTTTTAAAAGCCTTAAAACTTTACAAAGCGGGAATAGCACATGGCATAATGGTTATGTCTCTGGACTCCCACGTAGTCAACTGCAGTTCAAGTCCCGCACCTGGAGACTTAATCTCACCCTGGGCACGTGTGTGTGTGTGTGTGTCACCCGCACACTTAGACTTACCCTCGCCCCGTGTGCGTGTGTGTGTGTGTGTGTGTGTGTGTGTGTGTGCGTGTGTGCCCAAGATCCCGAGGGGTGAATGGAGGAGAAGAGATTGTGGTGTGGCCATCCCCCTGGGGGGTGATTTCTCGCTCTCTGTCTCTCTGTCTTTCTCTGTCTCTCCATTGAGCACACATGCCCTATAGCAACAATCTCTTTAAAAACAAACAAAACTATAAAGCCATTAACCTAGAAATTCCATTCCTACTTATTTATTCTAAGATAATTATCAGAAATATATTTAAAGGCTATATGCTAAAGGATCATTTATAACAGGAAAAAAATTAGAAAAATTAGAAACACTAATTGTATAAAATAGAGGACTAGTTGAATAAATTATGACATAATCATAAGCCACTACATTAATTGTATAATGATAAAAACTATGCAGTTATTTAAATTTTGGTCATAAAAGATTAATCAATTTAAAAAGCAGGTTAAAACTGGTATCCAACATAGTATTCTATTTCTGTCCAGAAATAAAAACAAAACTGAGTTTTAACAAGGGTTCATTGCATAACTGAACTACAGTTGTTTCAATTTTCTATTTTTAGACAATAAATTCTGCATTGTATTGGTCATTTTCTTAAATGACAATAAAAATTATATTTCAAAAAGTTCAGAAGTTGTATTTTTTTTAGCTATTCATTTTACTTTTACCTTCTATTTTCAGTTCAGTGAATTTTATCCCTCTGTTTTCCCCATTGAGCCAAAACACAGATTAAATTGTTTCTCAACACTTGGGGAACGACAATCAGTATGTTGAGAGGCCCACCCACAACACAGAAACGATCAGACTCCACTGCTTAGTGAACTTATCTGACCTTACCAGGTTCATAGCTCCGTTAAAATGAATATACCATAAATATGACTGGACCACTTAACTGAGTTTATTAAAGTTGTTTGTGCTGGTATGGGTTTTATTTTTATTGGGGTTTTTCCTAAAAAGAGTCAGATTAAAAAATTAAAACAAGAGGTCAGAGAATTAGCTAACTCTGGGCTGTCCAAAACAGTTTGTACCGCACAGATGGTGAAACAGCTATGATTCAGATCCTGGGATCGTGCCTGAGAAGAGACACATTGGCTAGTCTCTTCCCCCAGGATATCATAGGGGCAGGTAAGCTGGGTTATAACATACCTCACTCAGGTCTCTGGACACGAGATATTTCAAAAAGTTTTCGAAAAGAAGGAAGCCGTTTTCATTTAACTTTCTAATGAGCATATATTTATGACTTACTTATGTATTGCACAACCAATGGGTGAAATGAACTGGCACCCCACTGAAGCCTTCGCACATCTCAGACAAAATTTAAGGAGGTCCAGCTTAGGGCTACCAATAGCAAAGCAATAATTAGGTGCACAAATGTTTCTCCTTTCAGCCAGCTCCCATCTGGTTGCCCAAATAACTTTCCTGATCACCATATCAGAAGCTACTAGAAGAAACAGCATTCCTTTAAAATAACTCATACAATTCCAGAGATAGAAAGATGTTCCTCAGGCTTTAATGAATTTTCCTCAAATCTATAAAATAATGCATATATGTATTTAAATGATTTGAAAAGAAGGCGGGGATTCACATCATTACTTTGAGGGGCTGAATGTCATTTGTGCATGGGTTGACTCTACTCCTGTTAGCAACTACTATATGCCAGACTGTGTGTGAAGTGCTGGGCATTAGAACTAGGGTCCCTACTCACTTGTGTTCCTAGGTAGGAACATGGGTGATAGACTGAATGCAAACAGGACCTCCTTGCTTTCTACCCCTATCTCCATACCCCTTAGGTGAATTTGAAGGTCCTCCTATTAAGCAGACAAGTTTATACTTCTTCCAACTAAGTCTAGATGGATCTCGTGACCTGCTTTGGCCAACAGAATGTGGCAAAAGTAACAGTGGCTGCTTCTGAGTCCAGATTTCTAGAGACTTCACGTGCTTCTGTGCTTTCTTCTGAAACCCTGCCATTAAAATAAGCCAACACCAGCCCTGTGGGAATGAACCCACGTGGAGGAGCGCTGAGGTTGCCCAGCCAACAGCCAGCACGCTCAGAAGGAGAGTCAACTAGCAAATCTGTAGCTGATCAGGGACCTGAGGTGAAACACAGCTAAGCCCCTACGAACCACATGGATGAGCCTAGTGGAAATTGCTGACCCATAGAATTATGAGTTAAATAAAGGATTGTAGTCTTAAGAAATTAAGGTTTTAAAATGTTTGTTACACAATAGTGCCTAACCAATCCATACAGTACGTGCTCACTCCAATAAGCCAAATACAAAATGCCATGGAGTGCCTACAATGTCATTCCAACACGTTAACAATTACAAATGAATCATGCAATTTAGATGTATAAACAACAGATCTGAACAACCATCCAGAGAGAGCTTAAAGAAGTTATACATCTAGGGAAGGGGTAGCACAAGACAGCCATAGTTCCTTTGAGAAATTTTTTATGGATGAGTCAAATTTGCCTATGAAGTTATTCTCTGTTTCTTTTCTCTTTAAAGAAAATAAGCAGCTCTTTCACTCAATTAAGCCTGTTGGACTTGATCACAGTTGTCTAGCTTGATTCAAAGCAGCCATATACTCTATGACACATGTTCAGCCTTCAGTGCTCTGTAGGCAGGAATTTAAAATCCAGCCCTCCTGAATTTATGACACACATACAGTAGCAAGTCCCTACAGGCTGAAAATCAAACGGTAATTCAAAGGCCACAGGGCTGAAGAAACAGCCAGGAGATAAATCCCAATTTCAACCTTGGATTCTCTGCAAGTTGATTCAGTGGACTGTCAGTCATATTTAAAAATAAAATAAAACTACAAAGACATCAGATGGCATGTTCTAAAGACAAACAGGATGATGTTTCTCAGAACGCCTTCAAGAGGTTCTTATTATTTGAAAGGAACTTTCATGTGGGGGTATTTTAAGAGCCTTAGGACTTTGGGCCCTAATCATTCATTTGCAAAATGTTTCTGGATTTTCAACTAAAAGAGATAAAAGGAAGTCATGAAAACCATCAAACACAACCGAACCCACTCCACCCATGGGGGGAGATGTTACAGATGTCAGATTGGTCCCTTTCTGGAGCTGAGTGGGTGACCTCCAGAGAGTACTCGGGGCATGAGTGCTCACTGGGCACGGGAGCACAGGCACTCACCTTACACCCCTCACAGGCGCTGACCCCATAGTGGTAGCCTGATGATTTGTCCTGGCAGACGAAGCAGGGTTTGTACACTCGAGGGGGAGGAAGTGGAGATGGAGGGCTCGGGACGAGTTCCTCAGAGCTGGTGCTCTGTGTTTCAATCGCTGCAATGGAGGTGGGGTAGGAAAAGGGGAGGAGAAAACATATTTTAGTTCATTTCTTTTTTCATCAGTGAAGTCATATATACCTCTGTCTCAAATCCAGCCATGACACCAGCAGGGTTAGTTATTAGCAATGACCTAAACTTATAGAAAGTTACCATTGTAGGCATACCATTGTGGGCATACTATAATCAATGACATTGACCTAGGCCTCTACAGTTTACAAAGCAAGTCTGTTCATCTCTCTTCGGAAGTTCACCATAGCACTGTGAGGGTGATGAGTCTCATAATCATTACGATCAGATGAGAGCAGTGACTTATCCAGGACCATCAGACGGAGGTAGAACCGAGGTACAAATCAAATCTTCATACCACAAACTCCACATTCTTTCTACTCGTGTTCCCCCCAATTTCTGACTTTAATGTAGAGTCTCAAATGATCAACTGATCATCTGACTTTGGCTCACTTAACCAAGAGAAAATTTCCTTAGAACAGTGAAGAAAATGCCACGATCAGTCATGCAAGTATATATGCTGAGGCCCTTTGCATGCAGCCATATTGGTCTTTATTAGTAACCATGTTGGTGAGACTTTTGCTACTCGAAGACTGGTTCTTGGACCAGCAGCAGTGGCACTGCTTTGCAGCTTATTAGAAAACACAGTAACAGGTTCCAGCTTGGGTCTATGGAATCAGAATCTGCATCCTGGCAAAATCTCCTGGTGGTTGAACGTATAATTAATGTTTGAGAAGAGAGAGGGTGGGGGAAGGTGCTACACCCAAGATGGTACAGGATGATGTGACGCACACCTAAGTCACGTGGCTCTTTATTTAGATTTAAAAGCATATGCTCACATATCTCATTATCTAACCACCCAATTCCACAGGAAATGGGAATTCATATAATAAGACCAGACTGTTCTCCCACCCTTATTATCCAGGGTTATGGTTAGAACCAAAGCAAGCCCTAGCCCTACTTCTATCACAGGTGAAAAAAACTTCATAAAAATATGATGGAAATCCAGAAGGAAGTGATTGAAAGTGACCAAATAATGTTCCAGAATCTCTAGTCTCTAAATTACTTTACCACATACAGTATATTTCTCAGAGTACATTTCCAGTTGCTCAACTGCTTATAATTTCCCAGATTAGATATTCTATTGACTAGATTATTCAATAGCCAAACTTTCAGCAAACCAGGTCATCTTGAATCCGTAAATACTGCAGTCCAATCCCATCTCAGTGTCTTGCTACCATATCAGGCTCATAGTTTACCACGAGTCTTTCCTCAGCTATCACTTCTTCATTTTTGGTCTCCTTGTGCATATATATATATATATATATATTTTTTTTTACCTTAGGGTCCATCCTTCGAACAAGCAGTCAAGATAATTATTCTGTGCATATATATATATATATATATTTTTTTTTTTACCTTAGGGTCCATCCTTCGAACAAGCAGTCAAGATAATTATTCCATCAATTTTTTTCACTTGTCTATCTAAACCTTCCAATAGTGGCCAATTAGATCAAAGTTAAGCTCCTTGCTATGTTCTGCAAGGCTTTTCATGACATGGCCTTAGCAACATCACTGAATCCAATGATTCCCCTCATTACCGAATTCTCAGTAATTGGCTTCTATTCTTTCTCTTGAATAGGCCAAGCTCCCATACCAACTTAAGGCTATTGCTTTAAAGATTTCCCCCACCTGGAAATTTTCTGATTGTTCACATGTCTGGTTATTTCTCAACTTTTAGATCTCAGAGCAAATGTCATCTCAGAGAAGATTTCTCTAGTTAAAATGTCCCATCCCATTCCCGGCTGCTCTATTACATGATTTTATTTTAGGTCCTATAAAACCCCAACAACTAGTGTCAATATTTAGAATTTCTTTGGGGGGGGGAGCTAGTTGAGGGTATAGTGGTTAAGGCGACTGGATCCCACATGGCTGCTCTTATGGTTCAAGTCCTGGACCTGGCAACCTGAAAATTATGCTGGCACATGTACCTGTTTCCCCATAATCCCAACAGTAGAAATGCTGGGAAAAGTCATGCAGCAAAGCTCTCTGAGCACATGTGCCCTCTGGCAAAATTTCTCTTGAAAGTGTAATTGTAAGGGTCAGCCAGTGACATGGTGTTTGGAGTGCTGGATTTGCATACAGCCGACCACAGGTCAAGTCCTAAAACTGGAGACTTGCTTTCTCACTTTCCCTCTCTCTCTCTCTCTCTCTGTTGAGTGCAGGTGCCCTATAGCAAATGAAAATAATGATCATAATTAATAAAATGATTTTTAAATAGTGTTAATTTATTATTAATGATATTATTAAATAAATAAATTGTTATAAAGATGATTCCCAACTTATAATGGTTCAACTTAAGATTTTTCAGCTTTATAATGGTAAAAGAGCAATTTGCATCCAGTAGAAATCATACTTCCAATTTCAAATTCTGATATTTTCCTGCTAAGCACTATGCTATATGATATTCTCTTGTGATGCTGGGCAGCAGCGGTGAGTCATTCTGTTTCTCATGTTCCATATAGTATTCAATAAATTACATGAGATATTTAACACTTTATTATACAGATAGAGTTTACACGGTCTTGCCAACTGTAAGCTTAAGTGTTCTGAGCACATTTAATACATAGAGTAGGCTAAGCTAGGATGCTCAGTGGGTTAGGTGTATTAAGTGCATTTTTTAATTTAAATATTTTCATTTTACTATGGGTTTATTGGGACCTAACTCTGTTATAGTGCACATCAAGAAGCAGCTGTATTCAATGTCGGTCACTAGCCACATACTCCAAATACGGCTTTGTGAGCCCTCAGAATTTACCTGCATTATCTACAACTATGTCTCAGGACTAGAAGAGATTCTGGCACTTAATGGGAAATTGCTAAATATTTGTTGAACTAAGGTTTGAGCATTTTCCTTTTCCTTTCTCATCCTAAGCATTAAGCACCCCTCTAAGTTAAGTGATTAAAATTAGAAATCAAATAGCTCTTTTATACTCATTTGCTTCCTTAAAAAAAGTAATTAGCCCTTTGGAACAGACTCAACTGAAATTACAGTATTTTCATAATTCAGTAGTTTGGAATGTATTCTTTAGTGTGGTGCAGATCCTAATGGATATACCTACGACTGTCTTTACCAATGAGAATCGAAGTATATGGGATGATGAGTGCATTATTTCTTCTGGCTAATAAGATAATTTAGATGACTTGGCAGAGAATTGGCAAGTATTCTACAGGAAGGCTGGCATCTGAGATGTCATTAAAACTTAGCTGTCTGGAGCCAGCAGGTGTTGTGGTGGTTAAAGATGCGGGACTCCTACGTGGCTGACCGTAGTTCGAGTCTCAGACCTGGCAGCTCACTTTCTCACTATCTCTCTTCTGTCTGTCTGTCTCTCTCTCTTTCTCTGGTCAAAATAAAAAACAAATAAAAATAAGTAAAGTATGGGCCTGGCAGGTGGTACGGTGGTTAAGGGCGCTGGACTCCCATATCGCTGACTGTGTTCAAGTCCCAGACTTGGTGGCTTGCTTTGTCACTTTCTATCTCTCTCTCTCTCTCTCACTCTATCCCTCTCTGGTCAAATTTTAAAATGAATTAATTAAAGCAAAATCATGTTTAAAAAAAGTAAAGTTAAATAAAATAATTTAGAAAAAAAAGTAGCTATCAAACTGTAAATGCAAAGGCATTTCTGACATTGAACTTATCAGCTCCACTGAAAGCAAATGCGTAATAATGACATTAACAAGAAAATGCTACTTGTTAAACATGACAAAACAGTATATGCTCTTTGTTAAAAGCCCAAGAAAACACACACACAGAATCACCCGTCATTCTCTCCCTCACAGAAATTGACTGGGATTCTCTTGGTGTATTTCTTCCAAGCTTTTTCTTCTCACATAAATGTTTTTGTTAGTTTACTTAAGGGGAATTATAGTGGGATTGTTTGGAACTCTGTCTAATTAATGTCATAAACTGATTTCCTTATCAATGAATGTTTTCCCCAAAATATTCCCTTGTGATGAAATTCTTTGTGGATAATCTCAACACAGCCGACTATTTCCTTAGGATAATTCTCAGAATTAGAACTATCAATATTAGTCCAAAGGTATGTGATTTTAGAAACATTGGTTAGTTTAAATTCATGTGGATAAAAAAGCTTCAAGAACAGCCATGTCAATGTATATCGCAATATCCACATAAGTGAACCCTCCTCTACGGGCCTCCCAAACCTTTCAAATTGGTTTGATTTGTGTGCTTCGGGTCTCGCCCATATGTTTCAACAACTCTGACAAAGCCATGTCATCAGCACTATGATCGGTTCTGCCTTGTGTTCCTCACAGAAGCAAGATGGGGGTGTGTGTATTTTCTTGTTCTACTCACTCGTGTAGAACAGCTAATCTGGTTTGTCTAGGAAAGTTGTAAATAGAATTCTGTTAGGGCTGGATTCAGCTGTCAGAGCTATGCCCTGAATTTCAAAAGTGGGTGGTAATTTCCATAAATATGTCACTTCAAATACATGCACTGAAGGGAGTCCAGCATTTCATCCTCCCGAAGAGAGGAAACAGAACTGTGGGCAATTTAATATCCAAGAAATGCAGGGCAACGCACACAAACAGACAGAGGCCTACTGGATATCAAAAATCCCAAAACATTTTACAAAGGTTGGTAATAGCCTTCCTCTATGGATGAGAGTAATTTACAACAAATGAATGAAGCCAGAGGGCTTTTCTTGAATAGTTGCCATGAATGAAAACATTCTATGGTAAGCAATCAATAGTGAGAGCTCTGGACTTCTACTAAGGCTGCTGCGATTTCACAAGTCACGCTCTGAACTTCCCCCTATCAGTTCAATGGATTTGCAGACTGTTCATGTGTTCAATTGTTTATTTCACTGAATTACTGTAACATGCCAGGCACTGTAGTTTATGCCATGGAAGGTGCACAGTATAATCCCTTGTCTTTGACACATTTGGCCCAATGGAGAACAAATGGAG